GTATATACACTTGGTTATCTCGTGTGTCTTCAATAAAGGTCACTGTAATATCTTTCAGAATTATTGTCTGAATCCCGATATACATGCTAAAAAGGTACAACTTCCTTAAGTTTTGTCCATGAGTGTATATACACTTGGTTATCTCGTGTGTCTTCAATAAAGGTCACTGTAATATCTTTCAGAATTATTGTCTGAATCCCGATATACATGCTAAAAAGTTACAACTTCCTTTAGTTTTGTCCATGAGTGTATATACACTTGGTTATCTCGTGTGTCTTCAATAAAGGTCACTGTAATATCTTTCAGAATTATTGTCTGAATCCCGATATACATGCTGAAAAGTTACAACTTCCTTTAGTTTTGTCCATGAGTGTATATACATCCTTTCGAAACTATTATAGACGCGTATGATTCTTTTTAAAAAATAAACAATTTCTACTGTCCTTACTGCAATGAAAAAATTAATGGGAGGGCCTGGCTCATCAGTGGTGAACCCTCCCAGCGGTTTCGCCAGTTTAATCTACCATTAATTTTTCCATTGCAGTAAGGACAGTGGAAATTGTTTATTTTTAAAAAGAATCATAAGCGTCTATAATAGTTTCGTATTTTGATAACAGATGGCGCGCTAATGCATCATAATATTATATACATCCTTTATTTATAAAATAAATAAGAGTTGTATGATGTGTCAAATTATATTGACAAATATTTGCACGCTTATCTTATTTCTTTAGTGCGAAGAACGTTGTTTTTATCAGATAAGTAAACCGATCTCTCAGGCATTCTAATTGGACGCCATGTTTGTATATAAAGGGGGTTGAAGGGAATGCGTGAGAGCCAGTGTGGTTAAAAGTTTTGTGTGGAGACGCTTATAGTGTTCTCTTCGTATTTTATCCGTGTCTGGTGATCTCTTCGCATTCCCTGTGTAACCCAGGTCCGATCCCTACCAAAGCAGCAATAAAGATAAGTACTGTTTTTTAAATTTTATTTAACCAATTGTAAGTTTTTTTTATCTCTTTTTATTGTTGTACTTTTGAGTGTACGCTTTTGTGTGTTTAGTTACTATTACTTTAGGCCCTAGTCTATTACATTTTGTGTTAACCCGTACAAAGTAAATTTTGTCAGATGCACCATTCTCTCAATATACAGAGTGTGTCAAGCTATACTTAGTGGTCCTATAGAGAAAAGCTAACAACAAAGTGGGGAGAAATTACCGATAATCAAGAGAAACGAATAGGGAGAAAGAAGACCGGGAGAGCAGAAAAACCAAAATGAACAAAAGGAGGGAGCAACAGGGAAGAGACAGGAGCCGAGGCGAGATGCTTAGCAACCGTTGCTAAGGACCAGCATTGGGTAATAATGCTTGAGCGTAGATTCCAGGCGCCGGCTAATTTCCACAACACTCCTCGGGGAATGTCACATTGGAACCACAGCTGTATATGGTAGACACTTATTGTATATCTATACTCATGGACAACACTTAAGTATGTTGTACCTTTTACCATATATATCGGGATTCAGACAATTACTCTGAAATATATTACAGTGACCTTTATTGAAGACACACGAGATAACCAAGTGTTTATACACTCATAGACAAAACTTAAGGAAGTTGTACCTTTCAGCATGTATATCGTGATTCAGACAATAACTCTGAAAGATATTACAGTGACCTTTATTGAAGACACACGAGATAACCAAGTGTTTATACACTCATAGACAAAACTTAAGGAAGTTGTACCTTTCAGCATGTATATCGGGATTCAGACAATAACTCTGAAAGATATTACAGTGACCTTTATTGAAGACACACGAGATAACCAAGTGTTTATACACTCATAGACAAAACTTAAGGAAGTTGTACCTTTCAGCATGTATATCGGGATTCAGACAATAACTCTGAAAGATATTACAGTGACCTTTATTGAAGACACACGAGATAACCAAGTGTTTATACACTCATAGACAAAACTTAAGGAAGTTGTACCTTTCAGCATGTATATCGGGATTCAGACAATAACTCTGAAAGATATTACAGTGACCTTTATTGAAGACACACGAGATAACCAAGTGTTTATACACTCATGGACAAAACTTAAGGAAGTTGTACCTTTCAGCATGTATATCGGGATTCAGACAATAACTCTGAAAGATATTACAGTGACCTTTATTGAAGACACACGAGATAACCAAGTGTGTATACACTCATAGACAAAACTTAAGGAAGTTGTACCTTTCAGCATGTATATCGGGATTCAGACAATAACTCTGAAAGATATTACAGTGACCTTTATTGAAGATATACGAGATAACCAAGTGTGTATACACTCATAGACAAAACTTAAGGAAGTTGTACCTTTCAGCATGTATATCGGGATTCAGACAATAACTCTGAAAGATATTACAGTGACCTTTATTGAAGACACACGAGATAACCAAGTGTGTATACACTCATAGACAAAACTTAAGGAAGTTGTACCTTTCAGCATGTATATCGGGATTCAGACAATAACTCTGAAAGATATTACAGTGACCTTTATTGAAGATATACGAGATAACCAAGTGTGTATACATTCATAGACAAAACTTAAGGAAGTTGTACCTTTCAGCATGTATATCGGGATTCAGACAATAACTCTGAAAGATATTACAGTGACCTTTATTGAAGACACACGAGATAACCAAGTGTTTATACACTCATAGACAAAACTTAAGGAAGTTGTACCTTTCAGCATGTATATCGGGATTCAGACAATAACTCTGAAAGATATTACAGTGACCTTTATTGAAGACACACGAGATAACCAAGTGTGTATACACTCATAGACAAAACTTAAGGAAGTTGTACCTTTCAGCATGTATATCGGGATTCAGACAATAACTCTGAAAGATATTACAGTGACCTTTATTGAAGATATACGAGATAACCAAGTGTGTATACACTCATAGACAAAACTTAAGGAAGTTGTACCTTTCAGCATGTATATCGGGATTCAGACAATAACTCTGAAAGATATTACAGTGACCTTTATTGAAGACACACGAGATAACCAAGTGTTTATACACTCATAGACAAAACTTAAGGAAGTTGTACCTTTCAGCATGTATATCGGGATTCAGACAATAACTCTGAAAGATATTACAGTGACCTTTATTGAAGACACACGAGATAACCAAGTGTTTATACACTCATAGACAAAACTTAAGGAAGTTGTACCTTTCAGCATGTATATCGGGATTCAGACAATAACTCTGAAAGATATTACAGTGACCTTTATTGAAGACACACGAGATAACCAAGTGTTTATACACTCATAGACAAAACTTAAGGAAGTTGTACCTTTCAGCATGTATATCGGGATTCAGACAATAACTCTGAAAGATATTACAGTGACCTTTATTGAAGACACACGAGATAACCAAGTGTTTATACACTCATAGACAAAACTTAAGGAAGTTGTACCTTTCAGCATGTATATCGGGATTCAGACAATAACTCTGAAAGATATTACAGTGACCTTTATTGAAGACACACGAGTTAACCAAGTGTTTATACACTCATAGACAAAACTTAAGGAAGTTGTACCTTTCAGCATGTATATCGGGATTCAGACAATAACTCTGAAAGATATTACAGTGACCTTTATTGAAGATATACGAGATAACCAAGTGTGTATACACTCATAGACAAAACTTAAGGAAGTTGTACCTTTCAGCATGTATATCGGGATTCAGACAATAACTCTGAAAGATATTACAGTGACCTTTATTGAAGACATAAGATAACCAAGGTGAACAAGAGAGAGAGAGAGAGATATCCTTAAAATAACAGTGTAGTATATACAGTTAAACCTGTCTATAGCGCCTCCTCTTGGGACTCACCAAAATAGGGTGCTATAGAAAGGGGGTGCAATAGACAGGTCACTTTTAATGTAAAATGTTTACATTTTAATGTTTAAAATCGGGCGCTATAGAGAGGAAGGCGCTATTTAGAGAAGACGTTATAGACAGGTTTAACTGTATAAGCAGAATCGTCCAATACAGTATTAGTGCTCTAAAGAAGTGGTCTGGTAGATTAAAAATTGGCGAAACCGCTGGGAGGGTTTACCATTGATGAGCCAAGTTCTTCCAATATTTTTTCATCGCAGTAAGGACAGTAGAATGTTTGTTTTTTATTTAAAATAAACATTCATGTTTTAATACTTTCAATTCTTATATATAAATGACGAGGTATTGCCTTGTAAAAAAAATCGTTAAAAAAGAAAAATGAGTTTATTTTTTTTACTTCAAATTGTGTTTAGAATCCTTTAGACTAGATCCCAATCATAACCAATTATGGGATCACACAAAGGATGGTCGCCTTTGTCAGCAAACTGATCAGTTTGTCAATTAAACTCAATTTTTGACTTTGTATCATTCAATATAGAATTATCAACATACATTAGAATCTCCATTTAGCGAACACCTCTCCACAAAGGACAGTTTTCATTTACAAAATTGCCATTTTTACTATTTAGTAACTCTCTGGTAAGAGGATACCTCTCCCTAAAGAACACTTTGGCTCTGTAATTAAGTGTCACACCATAAGCCTAACTATGAATAATGTCAAAGACACACTGTCAGTTTTACTGTCATTGTCACACTGGTCTACAGTGGATACCTGGCTCAAGTGGAATACAGTGAAACCTCTATCAGAGGAAACTACCGCTAGAGGACACCTCTCTATAAAAGACAGTTTTCATTTGCAAAATTACCATTTTTACTATTTAGTAACTCTCCGGAAAGAGAACACCTCTCCCTAAAGGACAACTTGATTCTACAAATAGGTGTCCTTTACAGGGAGGTTCTACTGCATATAATTTAAAAGGAACTAAGAACATCTTCTGTTTGTAAAACTGAACATTACAGATTGATTGAGTCATATTTTTGGAATAATTATTAACTAATAAAACATTATAAAGGACTGCGGCGTGTGATTATAAACAATACTTAAAATAACGTCCAGGGTAGCCTATTGGACATGGCACCTGCCCGGTAAGCAGAAGGTTGTGGGTTCGATTCCCGCCCCTGGACACTTTTATTTTTCCCGTTCGCCATTACTCTTCATATTTTCATCCTCTCATACTTCATTCAAAAAAAGTTAGAAATAGTAAATATTTCTCTTTAAAATAAATATTGATTTTTCATAGAAAAGAAACTTATGCGGTATAATTTTAATTATTAACTAAACTAAGACAAAAAAAGACATCTTCTGATCGTGTAACTCAAATTTGCTGATGGCTTGCGTCATCTATCGGAATAAATATCAACTAATCGTTGATTTGTAATTATTCCAGAATTATCCAAATACCATTTCTTGATTAATCAAGAAAATCTAACCACATACGCGTATCGGGCTGTTGGCTCTCATCAGCGTGGTGCAAGCTGTACCTGAAAGACAAAAAAGCTGGTCATTGGGGCATCCTGAAAAATCATGAAACAGGTATTTCTAGTATTTCGTTGGGTATTTGGGATTACCTTCATGCTTTTGATGGTTTGATCAGGAATACAAGATGTCACCTGTTGCGTTCATTGGTAGCGTTTTTTATAATGAAATGATGGGTCAAGTTTCTAGGGCACATTTAAGTAGAAATATGACTTTGTCTGCTGGAATTTAGATGGGATTAGAATGTTCACATCTTGAGTGGCTCATCCTTCCAGAAGTACACGACTTAAGACATACTTCATCCGTCCTGACAAGTGGTGACAATTCCTATCTTATAATGAAGTGATGAGACAACTTTGTTGATGAAAACATCTGGGACACATTTAAGTAGAAATATGACTTTTTCTGCTGGAATTTAGCTGGTATTAGAATGTTCACATATTGGGTGGCTCATCCTACCAGAAGTACACGAGTCAAGACATACTTCATCCATCCTGCCAAGTGGTGACAATTCTTATAATGAAGTGATGGGACATGTTTATTGTTGATGAGAACATCTGGGGCACATTTAAGTAGAAATATGACTTTTTCTGCTGGAATTTAGCTGGGATTAGAATGTTCACATCTTGGGTGGCTCATCCTACCAGAAGTACACGAGTCAAGACATACTTCATCCGTCCTGACAAGTGGTGACAATTCCTATCTTATAATGAAGTGATGAGACAACTTTGTTGATGAAAACATCTGGGACACATTTAAGTAGAAATATGACTTTTTCTGCTGGAATTTAGCTGGTATTAGAATGTTCACATCTTGGGTGGCTCATCCTACCAGAAGTACACGAGTCAAGACATACTTCATCCGTCCTGCCAAGTGGTGACAATTCTTATAATGAAGTGATGGGACATGTTTATTGTTGATGAGAACATCTGGGGCACATTTAAGTAGAAATATGACTTTTTCTGCTGGAATTTAGCTGGGATTAGAATGTTCACATCTTGGGTGGCTCATCCTTCCAGAAGTACACGAGTCAAGACATACTTCATCCGTCCTGACAAGTGGTGACAATTCTTATCTTACAATAAAGTGATGCGGAAGGTTTGTTGTTGATGAAAACATCTGGAACACATTGTGGTGGTTGTTTTCGTTTGTTCTCGCTACCTCGTATTACCTCCTTGAGACACTCCTTACAGAGACCTAATAACGAAGATGATTATTTGAATTTTGAATAATTCTTAACACGTATGATTCTTTTAAAAACAAATCAAATTTTCTACAGCCCCCCCTTACTGCAATGATAAAATAATTAGAGGGCCTTGCTCATCAGTGGTGAACCCTCCCAGCGGTTTCGCCAGTTTTATTTTTTATTTTTTATTATCCCATGGGTAAGATTACACCGGGTCATGAAGTTTGTAAGCAATAATTTTTTCTACTATAGTTTTGGGGTTCTTGTATAGTTTCTTAGCTCAAATACAGTCCAGGATATTCGCCAGTTTAATCTACCATCCCGCTGGGAGGGTTCACCACTGATGAGCCAGGCCCTCTCATAATTTTATCATTGCAGTAAGGGCAGTAGATAACTGTTACGCGTCAAAAATAGTTCAAATTTTTTAGAACAGATGGCGCGTTAAAATGCATCGTATAAATATTTGAATTGTATTTAATTATTATAAATTGTTTGTATCTTATCATTCCTACGCTTTGTTTTAACTATATTTGTGACTTTGTCTATGCGTGTGTAGTTAGGCCTATATTTGTTATATCCTTTAGAGAGTGATTATAAACACAAGGTAATAAGACCAAATCCAAATAAATAGTGTGTGACGTTTCGGTAACAGCGTTGTTACCATCTTCAGAAAAAAAGTACTGAATGGTATGATATGTATGTATGATTCAGTACTTTTGTCTGAAGATGGTAACAACGCTGTTACTGAAACGTCACACACTATTTATTTACATTCAGTACTTTTGTCTGAAGATGGTAACAACGCTGTTACCGAAACGTCACACACTATTTATTTGGATTTGGTCTTTTTACCTTGTGTTTATAATCTATAATCCAAATTGTGCCTTATCAAGAGAGTGATTATGTTAGGTCTTAGTGAATTAAATTTATAAATTTAATTGCCATCTATCGTTAAAATTTTACATAATTAAATTTACTGGAAATGTTTCTTTTAAATATCATCAAATCTCTACAGACCTTATTGCAATGATATAAGTTATTGAGTCCTCTCATTCAATAACTTATATCATTGCAGTAAGGTCTGTAGAGATAATATTTGATGATATTTAAAAGAAACGCATTGCCAGTAAATTTATTTGTGTAAAAATTTTAATGTTAGGTCTTTTTTTTTTTTTTTTGTCTTTGTTACTGCTCTGTGGATATCAGATAAACGCTTTGCAACAGTGGTGGGGGAAAAAAAGTCCCTCGAACCGGATTTGAACCAGCGACCTAAGGATCACCGTTGATACATCTATAATCCTCCGATCTGCTAACTGAGTTTGGTCTCAAGGACCACGCCATCACCATCTCCTCAGCGTCGAAGTACGTCATCTACGTATTCTTCGTAGATCGCGAAATACGTGGTGTCGCTGGAGACCCACTAGTGATTCTCCACCAAACTCTGCAGCGTGGCAGAGGCGCCATGTTCTTTGTACATAGTGTGTAGAAAGATACAGGTGTGGTGAATATTTTTCTACGGGTTTAATAAATATCCTGATATAGGCGTAGAATTTCTAAACCTATTTATACACTCATGGACAAAACTTAAAGAAATGGAAAGTCTTTGATATCGTCGGTCGTCTTTTTTTTTTTTTTTGTTGGGGAGACAGGCAATTTTGTTTACACTTGGTTATCTCGTGTATCTTCAATAAAGGTCACTGTAATATCTTTCAGAGTTATTGTCTGAATCCCGATATACTACATGCTAAAAGGTACAACTTCTTTTAAGTTTTGTCTATGAGTGTATACAATAATTAATTATAGTTTTTTCCTTACCTACAAACAGCAGCTATTCTCATTTCAACATTTTCCTTGCAGCTCGTGACAACGCAATCAGTAAAATGGAAGATTTGTTGAAACTATCTAACTCTTCACAGTTTCTAGAAAATATTATACAGTACTCAAGTCTTCAAGTATACTCCAACACTGGAATTCTTTCTAAAAAAAAAAAAAAATCTGAATTTATAAAAAAAACAAATACAAAATAACAAGATTTGCGAGTCATCATATGCATATATAAAAGAGATATTTATGTAAAAAAAAAAAGGATAAAAGATGGAAGTTGTAAGGTAAAGGAGTATGTCAGAAAAGCATCCATTAACAGAAGAGTGCACTTGATCAACTAATACATCACCATTAAATTTACCAAATATCTCACAGCCTGATATTTAATTGTGTTTAATGAACAAGCTTAAGTGAACGGCCTTGAAACGATGGAAGAAAAACACCCCCACGCATGAAGAAATAACTGACTTCAGGCCATTATAAAATGTTATGAACGGCTGTGTGTGATACCGGGACAACAAGTGGAGGCAAAATGGCGGCTAGCCACGCCTACTAATGGGCGGAGCTATGACGTCAGGAAGGGGGAGTGGCCACGCCTGTCATGCGGAGATTTAGCTAGTCCGAGGCAATCCGACGAGATCAGCGCCAGGAGATTACGGACGATCGTCGAAGAGACTTATAATCCGGCTAATTGATAGATGGACTCATTAGGAGACTCGCTGTGCCTACAGGACTTCGTAGGGGGTCCTCCACCACCACCACCGCCCCATCTAACATTGGGTCCCATGCCTCCACTCTCGGGACCCCTACATCACCATCGGGCTGCTCTTGCGGCAGCCGCTGTCGTGGATACATGTCCTCCACCTATTCTAGACCAGAAAAAACGAGGTAAGATTTCTTATCCATACTACAAGATGATCAGATTATCTTATCCTGAGTGCTTGGACGGTTTTTAACTGATCGATATTACTGCGCACTAAGCTAAGCTTAAGTAAAATCCCCCCCCTGATCCCCTCCCCCCCTCCTCACCCCCCCTCTCTTCAGACAACACTTACCTGGAGTCACCCATGCATGAGACCGGTACGTTATAGAGGGGTCAATGGCTGCATGACACCTTTCCTTAACAGCTAGAACTCAAAACACAACAATATCCAAACAAAACCAATTGTAGATCACATCTATCTTCCAATACCACTTAATACATATCTTTTAAGATCAAGAACATTACCAACTAGAACCCAAAACACAACAATATCCAAACAACCAATTGTATTTCACATCTATCTTCCAATACCACTTGATACATCTCTTTTAAGATCAAGAACATTACCAACTAGAACCCAAAACACAACAATATCCAAACAACCAATTGTAGATCACAGCTATCTACCAATACCACTTGATACATGTCTTTTAAGATCAAGAACATTACCAACTAGAACCCAAAACACAACAATATCCAAACAACCAATTGTAGATCACAGCTATCTACCAATACCACTTGATACATGTCTTTTAAGATCAAGAACATTACCAACTAGAACCCAAAACACAACAATATCCAAACAACCAATTGTATTTCACATCTATCTTCCAATACCACTTAATACATATCTTTTAAGATCAAGAATATTACCA